AGGACCTTCCCGCCATTACCCTTTAGCTAGTTTTTCGCCAAAGATCCTCGAGATGAAACATCGGCTAGATTTTGTACTCCAAGCACATATTTCTATTGCTTGGTTGATGTCAAACTTCTAATTTCGGTCACCCTATTAGAGACCAATACGCCCCAATTATTCTTTTTGATCCAGTAGAGGGCATTCATGGAATCAGACCGGAAGAACATTTCTATATTGTGTAATTTCAAATCCTTTCTAACTGTGTTGGCTAATCTAACACCGCTATTGCAGACGAGTAGTTCTAATCATGAAATACTTCTTTTTTGCCATGAGCAACCTTGGATCTTGCTTACACTAGCTGACAAGTCACTGCATCTTTTACTTCCACCCTCAAGAAAATGCATGTTGCATATGACGATAAACTTTCGTATCGAAGTTCTAAACCTGATAATTTTTAAAGAATTTTAATCTTCTTGATTTCTGATAGTTGATTTTTCCATTTTTGGTACTTTCTTGTGATATTTGATGGCAATTCTGTGTCCCGCGAGATTTAAAGTTTCTAACATTCTTATAATAATAGTTTTGGTACTGATGTAAAGGGACAGTTGAAACCTATAGGATCAAAAATGGCCCACCAGCGGCCGAGCGGTAAAGACGCTGAACACTGGTAGTTCGGTCCGCGGTTCGAATCCCGCGAACGGGCTGGCTGCATGGATGTTTTCGTGGTTTTCCCCATGTGTAACATGTGTACGAACCAGTTTCCCTTAGAAAGTCCTCCACGAAGGCATCCCTCCCTTTAGGCAGATATCCCTCGTGTGCTTTGCCATAATTAAATAATCCAATCCAGGATCAAAAATTTTATGAACCAAAGGGAGAATTTTTTTTTAAAGTTATTGGAATCGTTTCTTCATCAGTGGATGTCTTTCAGTCAATCAATAATGTATCATCGTTTGGATTCCAAGATAGTCCTAAAACTTAAACTTCATTTCCTTCGCAATCATCTTTTATGGGTGAAGATTAAAATGTGTGTTCCCACCCCCCGTAGATGAAATTTAGCTAAACAATTTCTGAGATTCGAAACGGAAAAAGTTAAGTTCCTCAAAAAGAATCCACACTAGTCACGCAATTGTCGACATACATCGAATCCTTGATTATTCCGTCAGTTCTTCCCTTTCAGATGCTTGATCTAAATGGTATGTCAGCACAGCAGCTAGAAAAAAAAAAGGTCTATAGGAAAGACCAAAAACCACACGGCGATGTATATAACAAATTTCAGACGCAGGATTTTCATCTTGCCACCATAAAAACCTCAGAAAATTTCTGTCATTTTCATGTAACCCTATTTGTAAGAAGGCCTTTCGGATATCCGTCACAATTCCTATCCTTCCCTATCGGAAACGGTTCAACACTGAAGGGATGAATTCAATCAAATTAGGTCCCTTTTCGATACAGTCGTTGAGAGACACCGAATTACGAGTTCTAGCTGATCCATCAAAAACATGTCTTATCCTGATTGTGGAATTTTCCTTTATAACAGCTCGATGTGGCCAAAAAAAAATGAATACATGAATTCTCATCGTTTTTAGAATCCTCACTCAAATTTATTTGTTCAGTAATAATTTCCTTTGCCCTCTCATTAAATGTTCGTTGATAGGCTTCCAGCTTATACGCAGAATTAAGTGTGTCTACGCAGAATCTCACTGTGTTATTAAGTCTTTTCCTACATAAATCTTCATTATTTAGATAATAACGGAAAATGGCCTTCTAACCAGGAAATCCTCGCTTCATATCTACCTTCTTCACCTCTAACAACAGTTTCCTTAAAGTGTTTAAAAGCAAGCTCTTTTAATTCCGTTTCTGGTTTTTTTTAGTCCAAAGGGATTTGAATCCCGAAGGACTATTAGTTTCGTTTTGGCATTTTGCGTCGGACTCATAAATGTCGGTTCACTTTTCAAACTGTTGCCACAAAATGTTAGAGTCCTGCATTATATTTGAAGAAATTAAATAATGAAAAATCTGCATAAATGTATGTATATTTCTCGTATTGTGATAAAACAACGGTACATAGAGTCATCGAATTTTGAATAACGTAATCCTCCAACGAATATGAGCATGTGGAAGACCAAATTTGAAATTTGAAATTTGTTTTATGATCGATTTCCTATTTTTTAAAACTTTGACGAATTTTTGATTAACAAACTCAAGGATTTCAAAGCGAGCAATGGCAACGTTGTGCAGAAAAAAAAAAAACATTTTTATCTCCAGCGCGTGAGTCTCTGTATCGGAAATTCTAAAGATATGCTCGTTTTAAAACTATTTTGCGATATTGCTGTTGCACTGGATCTTATGGTTTAAGTGCGAGGAACATGATATTTAATAAAGAAAGGTAACACACAAAATGTTAAAAAAACGCCGCTTTGGACGTAATTTAAAATCTGAAACATTTCAGATTTTTTTTTTTTTTTTTTTTTTTCCCCCGTAAGGTCAGTTATTTCCAAAGAATCTAAACTCCGTAGATACGATATCTGAGCATTGCTCACATGAACAGGGAGAACTAACAAGGAATTGTTATTTTTGGTCTCGTTGCTACCCTTACCCAAAATCGCACAGTATAAAATTGGTATTCATGGCTGCTAGACCCTTAGATAGATGCTTTATTTCTTCTGTATATAATTTTCCAGTTAAATCTGCACCTATAAGATTATGTATCTCGTTTGAGTTCTCGAATAGACATGAATTTTCATTTAAAGCAATATCTCTGACAAATATGCGAAGTTCTTTCAAATCTTTTATACAGTCACTATCTCCAATTTTAGGAATAGCCGAACAAATTTTCATTTGATCCATGGCCTCATACTGTGCCGATTTTTTTTTTCTTTTTTTTTCTTTTTTCTTCTTTTTTTTTTTTTTTTTTTTTTTTATCAATACTAGATAGATTCACGAGATACTTTTCGTGTTTTTATGTTTCTTCAACACACAACCCCAATTTCTCAGCCACAAAATTGCTTATGTAACTCTTTTAACTTCCTGAATCTATTATAATTACGTACCAAATATTCTTTCCCCCTTTTCTGTTATATTAACAATTAAAGTTTGTAAGTACACTTCTTTTGTGAAAGAGTTTGACAAAACAGTACGTTCATTTGTTTTGTTTTCAAATTTAGCTTTTGATTGATTAAGACAAGCTTTACTTTGAGCTGAAAAACACATGATATCAAAGTCTTGCCTTACAAATCGAACAGACTAATTTTACACTGTTTTAATAAATGTTTGTTTCAGCTATCTGAAAGAAGTCCCTTATTTCATTAAAATAGATTTCCTTAGAGAGAATGTGTTTTGATTATTTCAGGTGGATTAGACGGAAACTTTGATAGCATATTCTTATAGCCGTATGCTTATTGCCTTAGTAGAATTTGAATTTTTTTTTTTACTATTCAAGTTTTGAAGTAACTAACATTATTTGTTCTTCTACTTTATATTATCAGTAAACTTAAGATTCCTTTGTTTTAATAGGCGAGATGCATATCATTAAATCCTCTTCCAAAATCTTTCTTCCTAAAATCCTCTTCCAGTATATTTTGTTAGAACTAGGTTATATTTTTGAAATTCTTCTTTGGATGTTGCCATATCATGAACTGATCATCGTAACCAAGTGCTAACCCATCAATGACCAAATTTTAAATCAGCGTCTTCCAAACATATATTACCTTACTTTAGTATGCGTAATACTACTTGTTTCTCATGGATTTTCAGTTTCCCCCCCCCAAATAATGTAGAATTTTTTTATTACCATCCCTGCACTATATCCAGTAGATACGATTTCTCGAACAAAGGCGTCTCGAGTAACGCATACGTAATAAAATTCTTCTTTAAGTTTAAAAATATTGAGTTTTCAATTGTGTTAGCGTTTATGATAATATTGCAATGTGTTTCATCTGACAGCTTTAGTAACTGAAGTCTCCTTTCCTTTCGAGTTCTGTGACACTTCGAATAAAATTTTACCACATGAAAAACTGACAAAAGCTTTAAGTTACTAGTATCAAGAATTTTTATAATATATATTCCTCTTTTTCTAGCTGAAAATTAAGAATTTATGAGATTCTCGTAGCATACGCTTTCTTGAAGCAAGTACGTAAGAAAACGTTGAAATAGCATAAATTAAGATGTAGCTTTGCTCGAGTTGAAGATTGAATTTTTTGGACCTTGCTGATTGAAAAATGGAGTTAAATTATTTATTGCAGATAATTTTATTCTAATCTCAGTAGTATTTTATGACATGGCTTTCTCAGTTAAAATTTAAGATATTAATTTGAATGGTCATTTGTTTAAGTTTCGAAGGGAAAAATTTGTAAACTAAACTATTTTTCATCGTCCAGTTAAATACATTTAAAGTTTTTGACATTATTTCCGGAATCACTTTTGTCACATATTTAAAATTTATAAAAATAAAAGTTTTTTTTTCCTCATTCCGTTCAACTCAGTTTATATGTTTTATTTTATTACAATGGAGAAAAATACTTTATTCTATTAGAATAGCACGAAAAGTGATAATAGCGGTTATTTGGAAAGAAGTTAAACAAAATGACACTTTTTTTAAATAAATAATTTATCTGACCTTCAGGAGAAAAAAATTTTGAAATTACTGAACAAGCAAATTAGAGGATAAACTAGCGAATCACTAAGAATTTCTCAAATCATTCAGATCATATTTGAAGAGAAGATAAAATCTATTAAAAAAACAAAAAAAAAAAAAAAAAGAATGTTAAGCTTGGCTGATTTTGGGAAACGAAATTATTTTGTTTTGTATTCGTCCTTCGTTTGTAAAATCCTCTTACATCATCTTCCTGCCCTTAACTATTTTAAAATTGACTTCACTCACGCAAAATTAATTATAGCATTTTACGTTTCAGGAAATCCTCAGCGACATTACGCCATAGTTACAGAACAAAAGTATTTCACATCCTTTATGATTTCATTACGGAAAAACAACTGCGGATTAAACATCTCTATTAAAGCAAGAAAAACATAACAAAAATACTTTCTCGGGAAGTATAAAAGGTTTTACACGGTAGATTACCTGTCCATCGAAATTTTAAAGATTTATATAGCAAGATCCCCTCTGATATTCTTTTTACCATCATGAATACTTTGACTATATTCGTACTCGCTTTGGCTGTCGTAGCAGTGTGCTTTGCAGATGAAAATGAAACAGACAGGAAATCTATGTTTATAAGATTTTATAAATGCATTTCTTGTGGTATGTATTGTATTCATTTTACTTAAACTAACACGGCAAAATTTTGCAGTGGAAATTTTATTTTATTTTAGCAGAATCTGTGAGAATATTTCAGTTTTTGAACTGCAAATTTAACCTTAATATTAATTAGTTCGAAAATATATATAAGTAAAATGGTCTTTAGGAAAATTTTCCTTAATTTAAATTTGAACTCATAAAATATGTTATTTGTTAGAGTTGTTTGTTAGGAATTAATAATTACAAACATCTTCAGTGCATTGCAACCATCTGAAATCCGTAATCGAAAATGAATTTTATATTTTTTAATTTCAAAGGAAATAGTTTGAGTCAGCCGTTTGCACTAAATAGACTAAGTAGAACGAATTTTGATCTTGAAAAATTAGCATGAAATTAATTTTTGAAGACGACAGTAGCTAATAACAGTTTCAGTAGAATGAGCAAGAATATGTAAATAATTATTAAATAAAGTTTAAAAGCTTTTGGGAATGAGCTTAAAGACCCCACAGAAAAACCACAGGCCATTTCTACTGCTAACTCATAATTTAGAATTTTTAGTATTTAAAAAGGGGATGTTAGCTAACCTCTTGATGTCTACCCTGTTTTCAGTCTCGTTACATGCAAAATCAGCAGATGCGATGCTGAATCTGAAACTGATAACTAGTTAGATGGCTTACAGTATAAATGATTGCAAGTAAGCAATCATCATTTAATAAAATGAACTTGTATGTAAGACAAAAACAATGCTAATAAATCATGTGTCAAAGGCGGATAGCATTCGGACGGAAAATGAAATATAGAAATCTAGCATTAAAAGCAGCAACTTAATTCATTTCGGAACTCGGCCAGAACAAAGTCATACAAACTGCTAAAAATATTCGTCATTTACTGCCATTTTTCAGATAACTTTCAAAACAGATTTTACTATTTCAGAAAACGTCAACCGCATAGTACATTTCCTTCTTCGCTCTGGACATCAAATTTATTTGTAAACTCTCAAATAGAATATATATTGAACTGCAGTCAAATATAATAAAAGTATTAAATAGACTGTTGTAAACGAGTGCTTACTCATAGATAACATTCAAGTCTTTTATGAATATTCCTATTCCTGATATCTCTTTTTAAGAACGTGTATATTTACGAGAATTTTTTTTCTTCTACGAAACATGCAAAATAGAACTTTCTATCGAATATTTCGAATGCTTACTTATTATTATACTCTTTATATACTATCACTGCCATGCGTAATCACTATCATGTCCATCAAACTAAACACATAAGGCTGATATTGACAACAAACAGGCTTAAGGTTTACGTTAAAAATATTGCGTTTATATTTTCTTCCTGATGAATGTCATTGAGATCTAATACTAAATAATGTAATTCAAAACAAAATAAGTAGTATGCCTAATATTATCAGATGTTGTTATTATATATATTTGGAATATGTAGTCGTTCATTAAATATTAAATTTTGTTTGCAGCCTTTGGCATATTTTTTCGGGCATTTTTCTTAATAAATTTTTGTTGCGCCATGTATAGTGGTTGACTTTTAATGCTTTCAAGTCGTTGACTTTTTAGTGTGTTTGCATCATTTAGGTATTCAATAAATGATTCCATTCCAAAATTCTAATGGATCGTTAAATTTCTGCAAAACTAGTGCTTCTCAGAAATACTTCTCAACATGTTTCATACATGTTTTAGCATACGTAATTTCTGCGTTGCACTTTTACATGTGAAAGCCTTATTAGGACTAATCTCATAATTAGGGATGAAAGGTGTCGAAACTGAAAATTTGAGTGAAATAAACGTAACAATAGAGGTGTAGGTGCAATGTCTAAAATAACATTTAGGTAACGATATTGCTTTATTCAAATTAAATTTTACTTCAACGTTTTAATACAAGGAACAATACTGTTTTTGTGAAATGTTAAACTTAGGAGATTTCTGCTCTTTGATAACAATATTTCAGTGGATTAACTAAATTCAAAACAATGTGGCTCTGTAACTGTGTCTCTTTAATGGATAAAATGCATTATGATGGGAATCGCAATATCATCAATGGAAATCGTAAAATGTCCCCCTTGAATGTTTTGACAGTAAAATTCACTAATGAGTCCTGTACACGCTGCGTTTAATTTATGATAAGGATATTAAATACACACATTTCATTATCCAAACTTTTTCGATGAAAATAGCAATGGTAAAAATGTATCAAAGACGAAACGTATCCAGTTCATGAAGTATCCCTTCAAAAATAAAATGCTTCAACATTGAGCTCTGATGAAATTGCAAATGATGTAATATTTTCACGGTGAAAATCAGAAATATGTAAAATTGCAATCTTTCCTGCAGATTCTCGTTTTGACGTCTGAGAGTTAAATAAATTTAGCTCAAGAGGCCCATCAGCGGCCGAGCAGTAAAATCGCTGAATACTGGTAATTCGGACCTGCTTTCGAATCCAGGCGAACGGGATGTTTGTATGAAAATTATCGTTGTTTTCCCCCATGTGTAATGTGTTTCCCTTAGAAAATCCTTCACAAAGGCATATCTTGCCTTAGGCAGATAGCTCTAGTGTGCTTTGCCATAATCAACTAAGTTCTACATGCAGAAACTTCAGTTATATTACTTTACGAAATGTGGGAGAAATGTAAGAGCTAAGCAAATTTTCAGTACTTTAAACTTGATTAATTACTGTTGTTCTGAATTTTTAGGCAAGTTGAAATTTCAGAAGGTGCTTCATAATTTCATTTTAGCTCTAATAAAGATAAAAATAAAGTAGCGAAGTAAAGCATATGAACATTACTTCTGTCCTTAGCCAACTAGTTAGAGAGAAAATATGTCTATGATAAAAAGGGAAATTCCATAGGACTTTTGTTTGTGTTGGCATTTATATTCTTTCGTTAATAAGTTTATTTGCGCTGTAGCTTAATTAGTTTAGTTAATAATTCGTGATATAATTTATTAATTTCATTGTTAAGCTGTCTGTCTTAGTTATTATGAAATTTTAATTATTATTATAAATTATTGAACTTTATTTCGATATTTTAATTTATTTGAACTTTTTCATGATTTTTAAGTCGAGAATTTTTAAACTAACTATCATTGCTCTAAATTACTTACATAAAACAAATATAATTAGTAACAAAATATTTTTTTTTATTAAACGGTATCACTTAAAAATATTCCCACTTACATGCCAACTGAAATTAATAAATGTTTACCTAAAATTTGACAAATAAATAACATAATTTGTTATAAAAATGTTCCCATTTGGGAATATCATTACAAACAAAGCGTTTCCATGACAGTTAGCGCTAAATAACAGTGGAAATCTTCAAGATAGGGTAACAGCGAAAATATTGATTATTATGCCATTTCCCTGTTTTTGTGAATTAAAATGCGATTTCAATCAGTATACTTAAATACACATGGATGTGAATTGCTTCTGAATATGTTTTTGCATTCCCATGTTATTTTGTATAAGAAATATCCATTTTCGATTTTATTGCATAAAAACAATACAGAAAGCTATAACGTTTTCTGGTACTAATATATTTACTCTTATTTACAGACCAAATGTATGTTTATTCATTGAAGAACATTTTACGATAAAATTACATATTAGTTATCTGAAGTTCTGCAGACTGTTATCATGTCGGATAACTGGAAACGCGGTTAAAGTAGGAAGAATCTCCATTTCGTTTCAGGAACTCATAATAAAAAACATTTCGTTAGTTTATGTGATACAATATCACTTTAATGTGTCTTTCAACATCTGAGAATTTCACGCTATATAATAGAGGGAAGGAAGAAAAATGACACATTTACGTTATTTTTGTGGTACATATTTATTAAAAATTTAATATGAACATTTCTCATTATTTCAAGAACAAAACTGTGTATTTGTATACCTACTTTTTAATGCAAATGATCTAGTCTCTCTGAAGTTAAAGTGAGGGAGGAAAAAAATTCTCCCTCCTTCCAGCACATGGAGGTAGGAAGTAAGAAGGAGTCGAACTAAACAAGTTTCTCCGTACCCTGCTCTGAAGCACCGGCGATCCCTACGTGGTGACCAAAACATTGGGTCATTTACCATTGAGTTCTATGGGATTTGACGCGTTCGGGTGTAAATATTTTGTAATTTCGTCGCAAATATACATATAAATGTATATATTTTCTTTTTCTACAACACTTCAGAGTCTAAGTATGTGAAAACAACATATTTTTAAACAACATTTCATTCTGAACGGAATTAAATGCTATACTTTTCTCAGAATGGTTTAATTTGAATGAAATATTTTTCACAAGTTTTCGTTAATTACATTAGAAAAAAAAAATTAAGGTAGTTCGATTTTATTCGGTTAAGGTACAAAAATTAAGATCAAAGTTTATTGTATTATTAATATTAAAATTATGCATTATTTCTTCTCTATTTATAGAGCTTCTTCCTAAAATACTTTCTTAAATATGACATGATTTTTTGGCTTCTTTTAAATCGAAAAATGTAAATCAATTTATTTATAATTAATGCTCTATTCGGTTCATTTTAAATTAGAGAATTATTAGGAAAGTAGTATTTGACTTTCTGGGATTTCTGAAAGGGAATAAATAAGTTTTTTTTTTTTTTTTTTTTTTTTTTTTTTTTAAAGTATTATTTAAAACTTGTAACTGAGTTATTATAAAATGTAAAGGGAATAATTCTTTTAATTACTTATCAGATTTTTTCTTTTACCCTTCATTTCAACAATACATATTCCAAAACTCTTTATTACGTTCTTAAGTGCGCATCTCATAGCATTTGCTTTACAATACCTTTTAACAGATTGCTTTCCAATACGAACAATTCTTGCTTAAATAGTTTTATAACTTATTTGTCAACAGGATTTCAATTTATGTTTACAATTCAATATTAAGGTTATTATATATTTAGATAACATTTATAATCATTATAAATTAGATACATTTTAATCATTAGATTTCTTCACAGTACTATCACAG